TTAGTTCTGCTGCTTTGAAGTCTGTTTCTGAAGTTATTTTGTTCAAGTATAGCTACTTTTAAATCTGTTATAGAATGTCCAGGAAGATGGAAGTGTTCTCCTACTGGCTTTTGTATGTTACCAGTCCTGATGTCCGATTTGTGTCCATTTATTCTTTTATGTAGGGACTGTCCAGTCTGGCCAATGTACATGGCAGAGGGGCATTGCTGGCATATGATGGCATATATAACATTAGTAGATATGCATGTGAATGAACCTCTGATGGTGTCACTAGAGTAAATATGGGGACAGAGTAGGCAACGAGGTTTGCTATAGGGATTGGTTCCTGGGTTACTGTTTCTGTGGTATGGTGTGCTGTTGCTTGTGAGTATTTGCTTCAGGTTTGGGGGCTATCTGTAAGCGAGGACTGGCTTGCCTCCCAAGCTCTGTGAGAGTGAGGGATCGTTTTCCAGGATAGGTTGTAGATCGTTGATAATGTGCTGGAGAAGTTTTAGCTGGGGGCTGTACGTGATGGCCAGTGGTGGTCTATTGTTTTCCTTGTTGGGCCTGTTCTGTAGTAGGTGATTTCTGGGTACCCATCTCACTCTGTCAGTCTGTTTCCTCACTTCCCCAGGTGGGTATTGTAGTTTTAACAATGCTTGATAAAGATCTTGTAGGTGTTTGTCTCTGTCGGAGGGATTGGAGCAAATTCGGTTGTATCTTAGGGCTTGGCTATAGACAATGGATCGTGTGATGTGTCCTGGATGGAAGCTGGAGGCATGTAGGTAAATATAGCGATCAGCAGGTTTCTGGTATAGGGTGGTGTTTATGTGACCATCACTTATTTGCACTGTAGTGTCCAGGAAGTGGATCTCTTGTGTGGACTGGTCCAGGCGGAGGTTGATGGTGGGGTGGAAATTGTTGAAAACCAGGTGGAATTCTTCAAGGGCCTCCTTCCCGTGGGTCCATATGATGAAGATGTCATCAATGTAGCGCAAGTAGAGGAGCGGCGCTAGGGGACGAGAGCTGAGGAAGCGTTGTTCTAAGTCAGCCATAAAAATGTTGGCATTCTGTGGGGCCATGCGGGTACCCATAGCAGTGCCACTGACTTGAAGGTATACGTCGTCCCCAAATCTGAAATGGTTGTGGGTGAGGACAAAGTCACAAAGCTCAGCCATGAGGTGTGCCGTGGCCTCATCAGGGCTACTGTTCTTAACAGCTTGTAGTCCATCCTCATGTGGAATATTGATGTAAAGAGCTTCTAAATCCATGGTGGCCAGGATGGTGTTTTCAGGAAGATAACCAATGAATGCATTGTAGTTTCCTCAGGAAGTCGGTGGTGTCTCGAAGATTGCTAGGAGCGCTGGTAGCATAGGGTCTGAGGAGAGAGTCCAAATAGCCAGATAATCCTGCTGTAAGAGTGTGGATGCCTGAGATGATGGGGTGTCCAGGGTTTCCAGGTTTATGGATCTTGGGTAGCAGATAGAATACCCGGGGTTGGGGCTCTGTGGGTGTGTCCGTGTAGATTTGTTCCCGTGCTGTAGCAGGGAGTTTCTTGAGCAGATGGTGTAATTTCTTTTGGTGGTACTCAGTGGGATCAGAGGATAGTGGCCTGTAGAATGTGATGTTGGAGAGTTGCCTGGCAGCCTTCTGTTCATAATCTGACCTGTTCATTATGACTACAGCACCGCCTTTCTCAGCCCCTTTGATTATAATGTCAGAGTTGTTTCTGAGGCTGTGGGTGGCATTGTGTTCTGTACGGCTGAGGTTATGGGGCAAGTGATACTGTTTGTTCACAATTTCAGCCTGTGCACGTCTGCGGAAGCACTCTATGTAGAAGTCCAGTCTGTCATTTCGACTGTCAGGAGGATACTTGATACCATATATCCCCAGAGTTTGTACTGAGCCGTTATTCTAGCACAGCGCTATAAGGTGCTGTATTATTTGAGAACTTTTGGTTGAGATGTTAAAGGTCTTGACCTGTGTGGTCAAAGATCCAATGATATTTTGCAAGCACCTTCTTCCTACCTGATTATCCATTCCAAACTTCCTATCCTAAACAGTTATGCATTGCTGTTGTGTGCCGTTTTATAGCTGTTGTGTTCCAACTCAAAGGGGTTTGCCTTTCTGTGGCAGGGAAGTGGATTTTCCAAAATTAGTAAAGACTGTAAAATTCTAGGGGTTCATTGCATGAAAGGTGCCCCATTAGTGCAAGATAATTCTTGCTTAGAGTTGGAGAGGGGTAGAGAATTGGGTAGTCATAGCTCCAAATACTTCAAATAAAGAATCTGGCTTGTTTTACCTGTTGACTTCTTGGGATCTCACTGTAGAAGTGAGAAAACATCTCTGCGCTGCCGTCCATCACAGCAGGGTGTTGTTTTCAACACTCCAGTCCTGCTGATACAGTCTTTTTTTCCACTCAAGAGTTGGAGCAAGTCCTGGTGTGTTAGAGAATGGTGTTGCCAAACAACACACAAGTGTCTGAGAAACTCTGAGAAATACATAGAGAAACATTGAGAAATATATATTATTCTTGTGCCCAGGTGATCCTGGCAGAAGTTCTGTCCCTCTGGGATTTTGCTGTGTGGAGAACCAGAGCAGATCCTGTAATGATACAGTTCTTGTTGGGCCTTGGTGTTCTGTGACCAGATTTCTAGAGCCCTGCATGGATACAAAATTTGTATCCGCATCCGATCCGCAAAAATTGTTCTCGGATATCCTCATCTGCGGATATCTGCATATTTGCAGGGCTCTACAGATTTCCCACAAAGGGCATAGCTGAAGTGACTGTGACAGCTATCCTCCATTAGCTCAAAGATATTTGTTTTTATGTGACTTGTGTTAGGGATAATGAACTTTAACAGATAGTGAGGATGGATTGAGCAAAATGTGTAGAGGTTGGTGGTCTCATCCTTTGGAGCCTCAGGATCCTTTAATCTGGCTGGTCATTATTGTCAGGTGAAGGTATAATACCTTACCTCTCCGTGGGGTGCTTCTAGGTCACAGTTTCTGTTCCCTGGCTTCCAGTGCCACTAAAGTCTGTCACAGCCATGTGCACATCCCTTGTAATGAGTCTGGAGGTGGTTTCTTTGTGTTCAGTGTGTCATGGAAGCCCCTGGTAAAGAACCCAAGTAATCTAAAGAATAAGAATGGAGTTTGCAGACTATAAGATCTTTTCCCCGTAAAGGAGTTCTCTCTGGCCAGAGAAACCTAAGGTTCGTATGATCCTTCCCACATTTATGATGATCCTCAAAGCCATGGGCTGCCCTTTGGATGGATGTCTGCAGTATTATTCTAAGCCCAGATGCCCTGTGGGCTGTCTGGTGCTGTGTAAGTACTTGAAGGATGGCTCTCATGGACTTGCAGAAGATGAGAGCTGTTAATAAACAGAACTAAAATAACTGCAGAATGCAATTGAACCATTTAAATTTCTCAGCCACACTCTGCAAAGGGCTGGTTCTTAGATTGAGATGTGCCATGGTAAAACTGCCAGTCACCAATCAGAAGCCTTTGAGCTGTTTGCTGCCTGATCTATGGCTGGATTATTCAAAGGGTCTGGCAGGAGGTAGGTCCACAAATACCATTGCAAAAACTCTTGAGAATCCCACCCTATATAGTTACAGGGCTTTAGTTGCTATCTTTCTGAGTTTAGAGGTATGGATTCCTGGCCAGGAAGCCAGCACCGCCTGCTGAGTTCAGATCACTTCAGCCAGAGAAGACATTTGGGGTCTTTTGGAGGTTGCATAAAGTCTGAGTTGGGGTGGCACAGTAGAGTGGGATTGTGGGAGACACCCTTTCATTTCTTCTGGTGGTGATGTGAAGCCGCTAAGATTTAGGGGATTATAGGTGATGTGAGTAACATGGTGCCCTTGCCAGCTATATGAATAAGAAGTTAGGTTGATGGAGGAAGAAAGTTTTGTTTTGAGACTTGTGAAGTAGGAAACTGGCTGGCTTTTATACACTATTTGCCCTCACCAATTTATCTATCCATGTATTCCACTCGCTGCAGGGGGCGATTCCACCCTGTGATTCCAGGGCAGTCTTCAGGCTCTGGGGCACTTTATCCTAGAGAGTCTGTTTAGAAACAATGGGTTTCAGAGTAGCAGCCGTGTTAGTCTGTATCTGCAAAAAGAAAAGGAAGACTTGTGGCACCTTAGAGACGAACCAATTTATTTGAGCATAAGCTTTCGTGAGCTACAGCTCACTTCATGCATCTGATGAAGTGAGCTGTAGCTCACAAAAGCTTATGCTCAAATAAATTGGTTCATCTCTAAGGTGCCACAAGTCCTCCTTTTCTTTTTTTAGAACCAATGTAACTGCTGTCTCATTAAAGAGGGAAATGCTAGTGCTTGTGGTAGTGGTAGTGGTAATCAGATAGCACTGGGTAGGACATGGAGTAAGCAGGAGTTTGGGGAAACCTCCTTCCCAAAGACTCCTCCATCTAGAATTCCCACGCTCCCCTTGCTATCCTGTTCTTGAACGTAGGTTGCTAGTTGGCGAGGAGAGGGGTCTGCTAAGACGAGGTTACTTCTGCTGTTGAGCTTCCAGGATTAAGCTACTTTCGAAGAAACCTCTTTTTTTTTTTTTTTTTTTTCTTTTTCCCCACATTCTGGGCTTGCTTGCAGTAATAACTAAAGCCAGGAGGCCCCTTTCCCAATTAGTAATTGTGGTTTGTCCTCCAAATTTGTTTCTTAGGAGCCTAGAGGAGAATGCAGGCTGTAGTGCAGCAGCCATTCTCACACCCCTTAAAGAAATAGTTTCTGTGGCAGCATGTGGAGTAAGTGCCGCAGATGTAGCTAGCTAGTTGAGAGTCAAATGGCTGCCTCTTGAAGGGAGCTGGAGCCTGCTGGGAGCACAGTTGCTGATCCAGCCTTTAGAGATAAGGGGACCTCCTGTAGAGGCAAGTAGCCTCTTCGTTATATTCATTTAGGAGCAGTCTGTCATTTAGTTTAGAACAGATCTTAACCCTCTGGATGTGAATGATTATTCTGTCCTTCCTTCCCCTTCTCTTTGAATTGCAGACTCTGGGCTAGTCGTCCCAAGCGTCTCTTATGAACTGCACAAAAAGGTGCTTTCAGTAGCTGAGAAACACGGCCTGACTCTGGAGCGCAGACTGGAGATGACTGGGGTGTGCGCCAGCCAGATGGCATTGAGTCTGCTCGGAGGACCCAACAGGTAAACAACCCCTGCTGTGAATCTCCCCATTTGCCTTGTGAATGGAGTTTACAGAAACCAGCTTGTTCATCAAAGATGTGGCCAAATTAAATTGTATAAAATAATCTCCAGGGAAAATCTTTGTAACTGTCACAGTTCAGGACACTGCACCTGTCCAGCAAGGGCACCTGCTCTCAGGTGTCTGGCTCCCAGCCAGTGCCTTTCTTTGGTAGAGCCCTGCATCTCTCCCTTCTGACCCAGGTGCATCCAGGCTGCACTGTTCCCTGCCTTCATTGTTCTCCCCAGCAGAGACAGGCTGCCCAAGCAGACAGTTGACAGGTGTAATTGTTAACAGCTATGAGGTACCACGCAGCATTTCCTATGCAGGCCTACTTTATTCTTAAGATAAAACTCATTAAAGAGAAAACATTAAATGTAATAGAAGAACCTATACAAATGCTAATAAATTTACCAGAGTTAACCCCAACTCTAACATGGAGTAGTCCTTCAGTCCCCGCTTCCTCCCTCCCCAATCCAAGGATTATAAATTCATCACAGCTTCAGCTCAGAACAAACACTCTCATAGCATTTTTAGTCTACCCTCTGTACAGTTCAGGGGTCTTTGATTTGGAGTTTCCAGGAGCAGGTAATTAGCAGACAATGGGTTTTCCCCTCCGGGCATAATTTGAAAAGGGAGGATTTGAAGTGGGTCATTTGCATTCCCCAGGTACTTCCTAGGAAATCCACTTCACACCTATTTTTCCCAAAAATCCTTTGAAATTCCTAATACCTTTCAGAGATTGCATTGGTCTGTCTCCTAAAGAAGGTACATACATAGGGCCTGTCTACACCGGCAACGTTAAAATGCTCTACAAAACCCCACCTCCATGAGGGGCGTAGCTCCCAGTGGTTGGGCACGGTCTATACTGGCATGTTACAGCACTGAAACTTGCAGCGCTCGGGTGTTTTTTCACACCCCTGAGAGAGAAAGTTGCAGTGCTGTAAAGACAAGCCCATACAGTTCCATGATAATACATACACCGTTGCATGTTTAATATAATGGACCCCAATAATGTTAAACTTAATTCTATAAAGTTTCATTTAATTCAGAAAATTCATTCAGGATATTGCAGGGTATTGTCAATTTATCACAGTAACTACTATGTAGTACATATAGGGCCCTGCTAATCCAGATGGCCAGATGTGGCTTTGTCTCGATGCTTGCCCTCCTACTCTGGACACAGAAGCACTATTCTAGCCTGTTATGCAAACCCCACACTGTATTCATGAGTCAGTCCTCAAATGACCATGAAAATGAGAGAGTAATCCAAATTACCTAAATGCCAACCAAAGGAAGAGTTTTGCCTATAGCCTCACTTCCTTATTGTCTCTCCCTCTACATTGTATGTATATAGAGAATCAGGAAACCCTCTTGGAGAGACTGTCCTTGTTCCAGTACTCTGGATGTATTGATTTACTCATGGCTTCGCCTGGGTTTCTATATCCCAGAACCAGTAATGTCCCTCGGTCAAATACAAAATCAACAGAGGAGGGAATAAAGAATAACTCAATTCCCGGTGGAAACTTTTTCAGAGATCTCGGGGAAGATGTAACCCAAGAAAGATGAAAACACTTTATAATTTTGGATTAGCTGATCCTTTGCATGAATAACTAAACCCTTCTTTTGGTATTTATTTTAAATGTAATATTTTTGAAGGCAGATGCCAATAAAAACAAAACTCAAGAACTAAGAGGAATTGCACCATCTAGTCACAATATCACTTAGATTTTTTTTTTTTTTTATACTTAAATCCCATTTGGAAGTCTTAATCTTTTCCTGGGGCCTGATTTGACAAGAGGTCTGATATGCAGTTGGTCCTGTGTGCATGCACACACCCCTTGTGTGAGCAAAAACCTGCCTTCAGTGTGCAGTCACTAACTAGTCAAGTAGACGCACAATTGCGATACACTTTTAAGCCTGATTTACCTGACCCTAATATTTTAAGGTATCTTCATCCCACTGGAGAGAGAGAGTATTAACTCCCTCTTCTGTTGTGTAGATAGTACTGCACTTCAATCCAATGTCTCACAAAACATTGTCTACACAGCAGCAGCGCTTTCCTTAACAATTTCTTTTGATGCTTGCTTATGCCTTGAGATAATTCATGAGGCTGCCTTGCTGGATAGAAAGTAGACGCAGCCACTTAATCTGTTATTGTACGTGAAACTGGTGGTGCATGGAGGTAATGGGAGGGCTTTAAAAATACAGTAGTATGAATTGTTTTCTACCTTTAAATGTATCTGATCGGTCTGAGGTGAACCCTAAGTTCATGGTGGTATTACTATGCTTTAAAAAGCTCTTATTCATTCATTCCTTTCTTAGGTTCAAAACAAGACCATTGGAGAGGAGCAAAATGACTCTTTTAGAATCATAGACTTTAAGGTCAGAAGGGGCCATTATGATCGTCTAGTCTGACCTGCACAACGCAGGCCACAGAATCTCAGCCACCCACTCTTGTAACAAACCTCTAACCTATGTCTTAACTACTGAAGTCCTCAAATCGTGGTTTAAAGACTTCAAGGTGCAGAGAATCCTCCAGCAAGTGACCTGTCCCCCATGCTGCAGAGGAAGGCGAAAAACCCCCAGGGCCTCTGCCAATCTGCCCTGGAGGAAAATTCCTTTCTGACCCCAGATATGGCAATCAGCTAAACCCTGAGCATGTGGGCAAGACTCACCAGCCAGACACCCAGGAAAGAAATCTCTGTAGTAACTCAGATCCCACCCCATCTAACATCCCATCACAGGCCATTGGGCATATCTACTGAAAATAGTTGAAGATCAATTAATTGCCAAAATTAGGCCATCCCATCATATCATCCCCTCCATAAACTTATCAAGCTTAGTCTTGAAGCCAGATATGTCTTTTGCCCCACTGCTTTCCTTGGAAGGCTGTTCCAGAACTTCACTCCTCTGATGGTTAGAAATCTTCGTCTAATTTCAAGTCTAAACTTCCTGATGGCCAGTTTATATCCATTTGTTCTTGTGTCCACACTGGTACTGAGCTTAAACAATTCTTCTCCCTCCGTGGTATTTATCCCTCTGATATATTTATAGAGAGCAATCATATCTCCCCTCAACCTTCTTTTAGTTAGGCTAAACAAGCCAAGCTCCCTGAGTCTCCTTTCATCAGACAAGTTTTCCATTCCTCAGATCATCCTAGTAGCCCTTCTCTGTACCTGTTCCAGTTTGAATTCATCCTTCTTAAACATGGGAGACTAGAACTGCACACACTGTTCCAGATGAGGTCTCTCCAGTGCCTTGTATAACGATACTAACACCTCCTTATCTCTACTGGAAATACCTTGCCTGATGCATCCCAAGACTGCATTAGCTTTTTTCACAGCTGTATCATATTGGCAGCTCATAGTCCTCCTGTGATCAACCAATGCTCCGAGGTCCTTCTCCTCCTCTGTTACTTCCAAGTGATGTGTCCCCAGTTTATAACAAAAATTCTTGTTGTTAATTCCTAAATGCATGACCTTGCACTTTTCACTATTAAATTTCATCCTATTACTATTACTCCAGTTTACAAGGTCATCCAGATCTTCCTGTATGATATCCTGGTCATTCTCTGTATTGGCAATGCCTCCTAGCTTTGTGTCATCTGCAAACTTTATTAGCACATTCCTGCTGTTTGTGCCAAGGTCAGTAATAAAAAGATTAAGATTGGTCCCAAAACCGATCTCTGAGGAACTCCACTAGTAACCTCCTGACAGTTCACCTTTCAGTGTGACCCGTTGCAGTCTCGCCTCTAACCAGTTCCTTATCCATCTTTCAATTTTCATACTGATCCCCATCTTTTCCAATTTAGCTAATTCCCCATGTAGAACAGTATCAAATGTCTTACTGAAATCGAGGTACATTAAATCCACTGCATTTCCTTTGTCTAAAAAATCTGTTACCTTCTCAAAGAAGGAGATCAGGTTGGTTTGACACGATCTACCTTTTGTAAAACCATGTTGTATTTTGTCCCAATTACCATTGACCTCAATGTCCTTAACTCCTTTCTCCTTCAAAATTTTTTCCAAGATCTTGCATACTACAGATGTCAAACTAACAGGCCTGTAGTTACCTGGATCACACTTTTTTCCCTTTCTTAAAAATAGGAACTATGTTAGCAATTCTCCAGTCATACGGTACAACCCCTGAGTTTACAGATTCATTAACGCTTTTATTCTCGCTGTGTTGCATTGTATGCTACTATAGACCAATGGTCTCACAGCAAAGCCTCAGAAAAAGAGAGCCAAACAAAGAAAAAGGTGAAACCATAGAACTCAAACCTGCTTGAACTGCAACACCTTCTAAGCATCCAGTGGAAGTGCCCCTTGTTTTGAAACAGAGCCCTTGTGGACAGCGTATTGATGAGATGAATAGAATAGTGCTGCAAGGTTCCAGAGTTTTGCTGTCTGTTTTACCTTTTGAGGGAAACCCTGAAGTGGAGCAGGTAGGTCATCAGTAATTTCCCAGTGCTTAAGTGCTGGACAGATTGAGATGCTGTCACCGCATATATACGTGTCTTTCCAGAGCAGGAGGACTCTGGATTCCTCATCTTCAGATTGTTAAACAGCTTAGGGAGATTTCTGGGACCTCCATGCTTTAGATTCCATTGTCATCACCCTCCCACAGAAAGAATGCAAAAGACGCTTGGGTTTTAATGGTTTCCCCCTCTCTGTGTTTCAGGTTGAATCCTAAAAATGTTCACCAGCGACCCACGGTGGCTCTGCTGTGCGGCCCCCACGTGAAGGGGGCCCAGGGAATCAGTTGTGGACGGCATCTTTCCAACCATGACGTTCATGTCATTCTCTTCCTGCCCAACTTTGTCAAGATGCTGGAATCCATCACTAATGAGCTGAACCTCTTCAGCAAGACCCAAGGCCAGCAGGTGTCCAGTGTCAAAGGTAAGCAGTGTTAGGCTTTGGTGAAAGCTGGGTCTGAGCTGAGACGCTGAGCAACGTGCAGAAGCTCATGCTGAAACGGGTCCCACTTATGAGAGCAGCACTGAAGGCCTGCACCATTGTAGCATCAAGTTTTCCTTCGAGTGATTGTGCACAGAAATGTTCCGCTGTAGGGGTGTGTGCATACAATGCACTCACCTCTCAGTGGAAAGTATATGTGCACAACACATCCTGAAGAACAATGGTAACTGTACAGGTGAGTAACCCATTTTTCCTGTCTGTCTAATTGAGCGTGTTTATTCTAACACTGTCGTGTATTCTTAGTTCAGTGGCACCACTTGGTGGTCACCAGTGGCATTCCCTCCTTTTACATACCTGTGGATTATTTGTAGGGCTGTTGATTAATCGCAATTAACTCACGCAATTAACTCAAAAAAATTAACTGCGATTAAAAAAATTAATTGCGATAAATCGCACTGTTAAACAATAGAATACCAATTGAAATTTATTAAATATTTTTGAATGTTTTTCTACATTTTCAAATATATTGATTTCTATTACAACACATAAAGTGAGCAGTGTACACTTTGTATTCTATTATTTTTATTACAAATATTTGCACTGTAAAAATGATTAAAAAAATCATATTTTTCCATTCACCTCATACAAGTATTGTAGTGCAATCTCTATCATGAACATGTAATTTACAAATGTAGATATTTTTGTTTGTTACAGAACTGCACTCAAAAACAAAACAATGTAAAACTTTAGAGCCTACAAGTCCACTCAGTCCTTACTTCTCGTTCAGTCAATCGCTAAGACTAACAAGTTTGTTTACATTTATGGGAGATACTGCTGCCTGCTTCTTATTTACAACGTCACCTGAAAACGAGAACAGGTGTTTGCATGGCACTTTTGTACCTGGCGTTGCAAGGTATTTACCTGCCAGATATGCTACACGTTCGTATGCCCCTTCATGCTTCAGCCATCATTCTGGAGGACATGCTTCCATGTTGATGATGTTTATTAAGAAAATTATGTGTTTATTAAATTTGTGACTGAACTCCTTGGGGGAGAATTGTATGTCCCCTGCTCTGTTTTACCTGCATTGTGCCATCTATTTCATGTTACAGCAGTTTCGGAGGATGACCCAGCACATGTTGTTTGATTTACGAACACTGTCACTGCAGATTTGACAAAATGTAAAGAAGGTACCAATGTGAGATTTCTAAAAATAGCCACAGCACTAGACCCAAGGTTTAAGAATCTGAAGTGCCGTCCAAAATCTGAGAGGGACGAGGTGTGGAGCATGCTTTCAGTAATCTTAAAAGAGCAACACTCTGATGCGGAAACTACATAACCCGAACCACCAAAAAAAAAAAAAAAAAAAATCAACCTTCTGCTGGTGGCATCTGACTCAGATGATGAAAATGAACATGCGTCGGTCCGCTCTGCTTTGGATCGTTATTGAGCAGAACCAGTCATCAGCACGGACACGTCCTCTGGGATGGTGGTTGAAGCATGAAGGGACGCATGAATCTTTAATGCATCTGGCATGTAAATATCTTGCGACGCCGGTTACAACAGTGCCATGCGAACGCCTGTTCTCACTTTCTGGTGACGTTGTAAACAAGAAGCGGGCACTATTATCTCCTGCAAATGTAACCAGACTTGTTTGTCTGAGCGATATGCTGAAGGAGGACTGAGTGGACTTGTAGGCGCTAAAGTTTTACATTGTTTTATTTTTGAATGCAGTTATTTTTTTGTTCATAATTCTACATTTGTAAATTGCACTTTCATGATAGAGATTGCATTACAGTACTTGTATGAGGTGCATTGAAATATACTATTTATTTTGGTTTTTACAGTGCAAATATTTGTATTAAAAATAAAGTGAGCACTGTACACTATATTCTGTGTTGAAATTGAAATCAAAGTATTTGAAAATGTAGAAAACATTCAAAAATATTTAAATAAATGGTATTCTATTATTATTTAACTGCACAATTAATCGTGTGATTCATTTTTTTGATTATTTGCCTTAGAGCCTGTCCTGTTGATATTGGACTGATGCATCTATGTCAGCGTAACTATGCTGGTACAAATATCACCAGTATAGACATGCCCTTACTAGAGTCATTGTGAATCTGCATCAAATCTTTAGTTCACTTCAGATCATCATCATCTTTTTCTTATTCATTACACCAAAGTTGCAAATAACTGAAAATAAAGTTAGCCTGAGTGTTGGTCGTAACAACTGGAAGCTGAATGGTCTCAATCATCTTACCCCTGATGTCAGCTAAGTGCAGGCCTTTTAGTTTCCTCTAATATTATCTAGGGCTGTCAAGCGATTAAAAAATTAATGGTGATTAATCGCGCAATTAACAAAATTAATTGCAATAAATCACATTGTTAAACAATAATAGAATACCATTTATTTAAATATTTTGGATGTTTTCTACTTTTTCAAATATATTGATTTCAAATTACAACACAATACAAAGTATAAAGTACTTACTTTGTATTTATTTTTTATTACAAGTATTTGCACTGTAAAAAACAAAAAAAATAGTATTTTTCAATTCACTAATACAAGTACTGTAGTGCAATCTCTTTAGCATGGAAGTTGAACTTACAAAAAACTGCATTCAAAATAAAACTCTACAATTTTAGAGCCTGCAAGTCCACTCAGTCTTATTTCTTGTTCAGCCAATCACTCAGACAAACAAGTTTGGTTACACTTGAAGGAGATAATGTTGCCCGCTTCTTGTTTACAATGTCACCTGAAAGTGAGAACAGGCGTTCGCATGGCACTGTTGTAGCCGGCGTAGCAAGATATTTACATGCCAGATGCGCTAAAGATTCATATGTCACTTCATGCTTCTACCACCATTCCAGGGGACATGCGTCCATGCTTTTGACGGGTTCTGCTTGATAACGATCCAAAGTAGAGCAGACTGATGCATGTTCATTTTCATCCTCTGAGTCACCAGCAAAAAGTTTTTTGTTTTGTTTTGGTTTTTTTGGGGGGGGCGGGGTTAGGTGGTGGTTCGGGTTCTGTAGTTTCCGCATCAGAGTGTTGCTCTTTTAAGATTACTGAAAGCATGCTCCACACCTCATCCCTCTCAGATTTTGGATGGCACTTCAGATTCTTAAATCTTGGGTCGAGTGCTGTAGCTATTGTTAGAAATCTCACATTGGTACCTTCTTTGCGTTTTGTCAAATCTGCAGTGACAGTGTTCGTAAATCAAACCACCATGTGCTGGGTCATTCTCCGAGACTGCTGTAACATGAAATAGATTGCATAATGCAGGTAAAACAGAGCAGGGGACATACAATTCTCCCTCAAGGAGTTCAGTCACAAATTTAATTAATACATTATTTATTTAATGATCATCATCAGCATGGAAGCATGTCCTCTGGAATGGTGGCTGAAGCATGAAGGTGCATACAAATGTTTAGCATATCTGGCATGTAAATACCTTGCAATGCTGGCTACGAAAGTGGCATGCAAATGCCTGTTCTCACTTTCTGGTGACATTGTAAATAAGAAGCAGGCAGCAGTATCTCCCATAAATGTGAACAAACTTGTTTATCTTAGCAATTGGCTGAACAAGAAGTAGGACTGAGTGGATTTATAGGCTCTATAAAGTTTTACATTGTTTTGTTGTTGAGTTATGTTATGTAACAAAAAAAAAATCTACATTTGTAAATTGCACTTTCAGGACAGAGATTGCACTACAGTACTTGTATGAGGTGAATCGAAAAATACTATTTCTTTTGTTTATCATTTTTACAGTGCAAATATATGTAATAAAAATAATATACACTTCGATTTCAGTTACAGCATGGAATACAATATATGAGAAAATGTAGAAAAACATCCAAAATATTTAATAAATTTCAATTGGTATTCTGTTTAACAGGGTGATTAAAACTGCGATTAATCACGATTTAATTATTTTTAGTTAATCGCATGAGTTAACTGCGATTAATCGACAGCCCTAATATTAACTGCTTCAACATATTGTTTCAGGGATCTGCTCGAATCTAGTGGGGGGAAATTGGATTTTCAGTGGTATTGGCTCTAAGGACACAAGTTTTTAAAATTTATTGTGTGGTGGTTTTTTTCCTCTTCTGGAAGAAACAAACCCTAGAACGAAAACCATCTGTGAAATTATTTATATTACTGTAGCACCTAGGGACCCCTGCCATGGATCAGGTCTCCACTGGGTGCGTGCAGCACCTAACGCACACATGTAACAAAGAGCTTGCAATCCAAGTTTAAGATGAGACAACAGGTCAATACAACAAACAGATGATGTGGGAGGAGTACAAGAAAACGACGACGCAGTACTGATCAGCGTGACAAGCAGCGGTTGCACCACACCCGCTGCCTAACCAATGGCAGATTCTCCAAAATGCCCTGTCCTTCCCTGTTTTCTACTTCTCTGGCTGGTAAACCAACCTCCCCCCGCCCCCCCGCCCCCCAGTTTTTTAATGGATCGTTAGTGACAATGACATACCACTGAGACCTGCAGAGCTGTGGTGGCTCAGCTGAGCAAATCATATTTTTGGGGTAGGGTTTACAAAAGCGTTGGTGGTTTTATAAGATTTCCTGGCAGTAGTTTCAATTAGAATCCAGGGAACTTTCCCCACCAAATTAAAGCATGTTTAGAGCTTGACAAAGGTTAGACCTAAAACTCATTATGTGGGGCCCTAGCGGGCAGGAGGAGAGGAATAGTGGCACACCAGTCCCTAGGCCAGGCTTTACACAACAAGACACTCCACATTAGAACCTGGTGTTACACTGCAGGTACTACCATGTAATCAGACGTTCAGTGATAGAGCTGTTCTGGAAGGTGGCCTCTTCAGAGGGCCAGCTGGTTCATTGAAGTGATGTCTCTCCGGAGGCCTGGGTTCAAAACTGATCAGTCTCAACCACGTCCATCCCAAAAGTGCCACACTTCAGCATGATGAGCAGAAATTGCCAACCTGCAACTCAAGCCTTTGAGTTCTATTGGCAGACGGCTGTGGGAGAGTCTATAGCTAACTGGCAAAGTCTGTTGTTACAGTGCTGCTTCTGAGTGCTAAAATGGGCCACCTCTAGGCCTCTTGCTCTGTAGGGAGATTGGAAGAATTCTCCTGGAGATGCAGGGCGGGAGGTGGGAGTACGGTTCTTTGTAGGCCGCTGCAGTTTCTGTGGAGGGGAGGTTCTCTCTTACGCTGGTCCTGGATGCACATTAAAACACGCATGTTTCTTTCAGATCTCCCAGATACCCCTGTTGACCTGGTGATAAACTGCCTGGATTGTCATGAAAATGCTTTCCTGAGAGATCAGCCTTGGTACAAAGCAGCTGTGGACTGGGCCAACCAGAACCGAGCCCCTGTCCTCAGCATAGACCCTCCTATGAGTGAAATGGAGCAGGGCATTGATGCCAAGTGGTCACTGGCCTTGGGCCTGCCCCTGCCCCTGGGTGAGAGGGCAGGGCGAGTATATCTGTGCGACATTGGCATTCCGCAGAAAGTCTTTCAGGAAGTGGGAATAAACTACCACTCACCCTTTGGCTGCAAATTTGTCATTCCATTGCATTCAACATAGAGCAGACCCTGCAGTGTATCAGCCCTGGAGGGGGAGATGGGGCGGAGTCCTGCCTAGCAAGCTGTATAAAGGATCCTGACAAGTAAACTCTTGACGCCTTAAGGATGTGAAGTGCTGGAGTTTTCTTCCAGAAGAAATATGCGTATTAAAAACAAAAAAAACGAAGGGAGCAAATGTTACTGCAAGATGCTTTCTCTCTCTCCCTCATGCCATTGGATGAAGGAATGTGGAAGAAGCTGGTATCTAACACTGGGAAAGGCAGTGCCTGCTGCCCAGCACCTGGTCACCAGCCAGAGAATGGTTAAAGTGGGTGAGAGGGTTTGTTTACAGATGCAAGTGACTGTCCGACAGCTTGGAGGTTTACAAGATGATGCTCTGTTTTTTTTAGTACTTCGGGGGGGGGGGGGGGAATTTGTGCCCAGCAGGGGGCCCCTTTCAGGAGCAGTACCCCTCAATGATAATGTAGAAATGTCTTTGTTGCAGTTTTACTGTTTTGATTTTGTTCTTTATTTTCTTTTATGTTCATGAGAGCAATTATAGTTAAATCTCTTCCTGGAGCTGCCCGGCCCTTGTGGATGGGGCTCCCTATTTAGAAAGCGGGTGTAAAGCTTTTGTTCCTTGACTGCTTGCTGAGTGAATGCTGCCCGGAGTGAGGTGTTTACCATGGTGTCCTTCCACCAGACAGTGCTTTGGGAAGGGCATTTTCCTAAGGTGGGTTTTATTTCTCCAGCGAGCTGAGTAACCGCAGTGATTTGGAGAAGATGCGAGGGGAACAGGCAGATGTTACCCTCTTTTCTTTAATACCTTGTGCTCAGCACAGGTAGTGTTTGGATATATTATTGTAGAGCCTCAGTGGCCACCCGCAGCACACCCTGCACCTGAATGCCATGCTTCACAAGACATATAATATTCCAATCCCTTTGGGAGCAACAGCCACGTCTGGGGGAGGATTCTCCCTCCTAAAAAGCATATGTGCTTTGTTCTAATGCACTGTTCCACATGGATCTCAATGGAGTCAGTGGAAATCATAGGGCACTTGCCTCCCCTGGTTATGCAAACTGTAAAGATGAGTCAAATGCTGTTTGTCTTAGTATGCAAAGACAGCCGCGTGCGCGCTCTGCATTAGGGGTGTTATGGAAGGCTTATGTTAACTCGTTCGTGGAGGAATCTTCCTCCAGGCCCCCTTGTCAGCTCCGTGTAGCACTACTAACTGTAGGGCCTCCGGGCCCAGATGATGATGGTACTGTGCTTGGCAAGCTGCTGTGTTAGGCTGTATTGCCCCTGCATGCACTAGTGCACTGAAAGCTGGGCCCCTATACCCCAGGCATCACCACTGGTAGTGACCACTGTTGTATCATGCGGCTTTCAGAAAGCTTTAAGCTTTCCAGCGACATCACACTTGAGGGGAAGGTCAGAAAACTCTGACCTGAATTACTGTAGGTAGTCTCACCCTGTTTAGTTTGCTAACTGGTTTTGGGTGGCTGATTTTTTTTCCTATATGCTGCAAGGAAAGCATTTGTCTTCATGGCACTGCCTCGAGTAAGAAGTGATTTGATGAATCTTTGGGTGTCTCTGTAGATCTATTACGCTGGACCTTTTCTTGTCTCTAAAAGTGCCAAACTATCAGGGGCTAGTGATGAGAAATATTAAACTTGGACCAAAACAGTGCTCTCTGCCTGAGGGTTTCCTGTAGAGGTAGAGAAGAGAGAGGTGAGGAATCCTTGAGCCCTGTCCTAGCAAAACAGAGCTAAGTTCCTCTGCTACTGTTTGAACTTTAAGCACAGCCTATGCTCCCAGCAAAGTTCTGCCTTCAGCATGGGACTCTACTGGTGTGGTAGGTCTTCAAAGCTTCTGCTGCTGCCTTTCCCAGGGGAGGGAGATCTTCTTTTGCTGAAGTGTAGAGCAGCTGTTCTGTGAGAAACAATTGCAGCTGCTGCTTGGGTATTCAGTAACTGAACTCATGAAGAAACTGCATGCAGAGCACCCTATTCAACCAGCTGGGTTATGGGGGGATACAAGTCTGGCACTTGAATAGTGACAGGATTTTTAACATAAATCATAGAATAGCTGAGTGCACCAAGCAAGGTAAAAAAAGAGGGTGGCTGGGAAGAGACTTCCAAAGGAAATAAGATTGTTTACCTGAGCAGTGTTCCAAGTTACTGAAGTATGAGAAAATACACCAGCCTAATCTGCAAAGCACTATTGAATGGACCCTGGGGGAGGTGGCAAGCTTTCATTTCATCCCACAGGGTTTGGGCAGGGGCCTCAGAGAATAGCCCTGCTCTTATTCCCTGGTACATTTGGTATCTAGGCAGCTCTCTGCTGTATAAGGTCTTGTTAAAGGACTTCCCATGCCAAACAGCACAGAACTCATCTACCTCATGAGGATAAAGGGCCTATGGTTCAGCACATTTCTCAATGTGGAGGGTTAGACTACTAAACTGTGTCCACTGATTTATGCTTAATGGCCTTAGTGCTAACACAGATTCTCAATGACTAAACTCTTCCCTAACATAATTGGGTGTAACAGGCTGTGGTTGTGTGGGTTTCTCTGCAAGGCTTCAAGCACCTATGCCTTAGGTAAAACACTAGTTTCAGCTTAATGCAACAGCATTTAATAAGGGATGGCACTTGCCTAGCAAGCAGTGCTGGTTAGTGACAGCATGGTGAGGGGTTATCCTTTTAAAATAAACACAACCCAAGGTTTTTCTCTGCCTTTCTCCTGTAGATCTTTGAAGTGTGCATCAGTGGCTAAGGTCCTACCAGCCATATTAGAAGGGGTAGCAAGAATTGCTCAAAGGTTATTTTTTAAATAAAGAATTAAAGTAGTCATTGTTATTGCTGCCACAGCACTTGATGCCTCTGGGCAAGCGACAGGATTTTAAGTAAGGGTGCGGGCATTGACAGATTCTAGATTGACTCATCTCAAGCACAACTAAGCAGCTTTGGGACAAGTTGTGTGTTACTATGCTAAACTTAATACATTCTCCCTTTTAAGTAGCACAAGGGTAAGGGTGCTTGCTTTTCTTCTGACAAGCAGAGCTGTATTCTTGCTAGAGGAATGAAATCACTGGCCTTGTCCTAGACCAGATGCATTTTGTTGCACATCCATGTGATCAAGTCTTTAGGATTCTTGGCCCTTTTATTGTCACACAGCTACTGCAGACCTGGATGCAATAGACAACAGCAGGAAGGGATACAGCCTCCCCTTGCCCCATTTGTCAGAGCTCTTCGTTAAGATGCAGGCTTTAAGGGATGTTAACTTTTAGTGTTTGTCACGATGTGACCATTTCCACCAGTGTGTCAGGACTCAGTGGAGTAAATACTCAGGAGCTCACTTCCCAGGGCCCAGGAAAAGCAGCTGCCTGTAAATAAGCACTGGAATGGACTTTGCTTTTCCAGAAAGCAGAAATGCAACTTTCACTGCTCTGTAGTAACCAGCAGTAGATTTAAGTTCTGCATCATTCCCTCACAGCTTGTCATAAGAAAACATGCACCCTCTTTTCAGCAGCCATGGAAAAAGCCCTGGCTTCAGGCACCCAGTTCAAAGACAACTGCACCCTAACTCTGTGTAATCGAGTCAATGCTTCAGTCATATCATCATTACAAACACTGTTGTTTCATAATTCATGCAGCAGCTGGGGTAATACCAGCCTTGAAATAAAGTGCAACTATTCCCATGTGTTCTGTGACTTATGTATATGGGAAAGGTTTGCCCCCACCTGTAAGAAAGAGCCATTCTGCACAATTAAGCCAAACCCAACATGCATTCTACTAGTTACTTCTGAGTAAGGTGCTTCAGGACTCCAGCCAAGCACAACAGAAGTTACAAGTGTTTTGAAAAGGGATTTATATTTCCCTGGCAGTTACTGAAGGACTAGCAAACCATCAAAAAGTTGCCCAAATCCTCCCCTCCAATACCACAGCCAGATGTGAGATTAACAGTGCAGTACCTCTTTCCTACAACCTGCTACACACTTGCTAATGGAGGAGAAGACAAAGCAAGGTTAGTTCAATCCATGCTTGGAAATGAAGGACTACCTAGAGCCAGCAAAGCAGTAATGTCACATTCATAACAATGCCATTTTGTGGAGAAATATAAAACCACTTTTTATTTAACAGAAAAAATCTGGCAGGGTGGGATCAAAAAAATAGCTGGACACATTCATACAAGTAAATTATCAAACAATAAGAAACACTTTATTTTAACTTTACAACATATAAATATGAGACATCTGTGCTTTCCTTGTAGCTTTCTCCTTCCCCCTCCCGTGCCCAGGGTCCATATCACATTGCACCAGTACCTCTGAACTCTCCGCTACAGGAGGGCTGCGTGGTGCCTCTACAGCAGAGGTCAAACTGATCCAGGAATATGTTCAAATCCAGCAGGCCTCACCACCCACCCATCTGTCATCTGCTCAGGTCACGGTTTGAGACTCGACTACACAGCAGCCTTTCCTCTGGAGACAGGCCGCTAAAGAACGGATGCAGCAGAGCATCAGAGAATGTGATCCTCTTGGAAGGATCAAACTCTAACATCCTTCTCATCAAGTCAAACAGCTGCACATGGTCCGGTGAGTCATACAGCATGTAGCTCTGAAATAGAATAGTACAGATTCAGCTGTGGAAAAATGCAGGCAAACATCTGGCAAAAACTAGACACGACCCTCCACACTATGTATCTTGAGAGCTGGCAACACTGCTACAGATAGGGCAGAGTGCTACACCATCAGACCTTTATTCCTGAAAAAGCCAAGGGAAGTTAAGAGATTTTGGGCATTTGAAGAAAGTTTCAAAGGTTGTCCTTTACTTCCTCCACGAGCAGACAAAGCTAGGGATGGTAGAACCCTGTGGCAGTGGCGAGTATCTCCTCTATTGGCTACAGCAGCAGCTCGAAGAGAATGCCGAGGGAAGTGTCACTGCTCCCCTATCAACAGTTCCACGTTTTTTACAGGGGGAAAGGAACAGACTCATGTGATTCTCTGCCAAACTGCAGGCCCTCCTTGCAACATCTGTTGAGGTGAGAGCCACCTCTGGCCTGATGTGGCCAATCTTGAAGCCCCTTCCATCTCTCCCACATTCCTGCTGCATCCTTGTCTATTAGATTAATTGTTATCCAGTAAAAACACCAGGCAAATCTCTGATGGTCTCCACTGGGTGAGAAGTCATAGGATGCCCAGTCCCGCCTACATACTACTTCCCCCTTGTAGGGAGAAATCCTTGGAGTGGAGGCTCCATGTAAGGGTACATATGATGGCTCCCATCACCACAGCATCTGAGCATCTCACAATCTGTACTGTATTTATCATCACACCTCTTGGGAGGTAGGGCAGAGCTATCACCCTCATTGGGCAGAGGAGGAACTGGGGCACAGTGAGGCTAAGTGACCTCTCCATGTCACACAGGAAGTCAATAGCTGAGCAGAGAATGGAATCCAGCTCTCCTGAGTCCCTGTCTATGGAACCAATCTTCCTCTGCCCTGTGATGGAAGGTTGGGGTCCAGCTTGTGCCCACAACAGACAAAGCCAAGGCTGCCATGCCCAGATGCAGTCCTGCATGGATCCCCTCAGCCTTCCCTGCCTGGAACAGTTTGGAAGATTAGATTCCCTGTAAGCTGAGGGTTCTCCCCAAGTCCTTTCAGTGAGCAGCAGCCACATGAGAGGGTTCCCTGTCCTGCCTCAAAGGATAAAACTAACCAGACATGAGACAGACATGTCCGCAGCTTCCCTTAAGAATAAAGGCAGAGTAAAAGTAACCAGCACATCTTTCTATGATGATTTTCACCATCCCGGTCCCTATTTCACAGCTGGGGAATTGGAGGCACCCAAAGAGACTTGCCCCAGGCCACAGCAATCCAGTCACAGATCCAGTACAGAACCCAGGGCCCGAGTTTCAGAAGTGAAGCGCATCCACAGCTCACACTGAAGTCAACTGAAGCTGGAGTGCTCAGCACTGTTAGAGATCAGGCTCCCACTCCTCATCCCATCTATGGGACTGTGCTACCACCATGGAATTCTAGGGGCTTGCTCATCTATAGAACACAGCGTATGGAGCAGTGCTGAACTGGCTGGAGGAGGAGCTACGTGGCCTAACAATTCCATCCCTAATTTCTGATTCTTACCACGCCACAGTGACACAAAGTGAAGTCTTTACTAACTGCGACTACAGCGAATTTGGGAACAGGATCTGGACTGATTGTAAAGCATTGGTTAATAGGCTCTGTAAAAGCTAATACAGCTTAAAACAATTCTGTTGGGACAGACCAGTCACTCTAGTCTCGGCAAGGTTTTGTTTTTGTGCCAAGGTGCTCCCTGCATATACGGAAAGAAGCTATCTATGTGTCTCCCATGTCATTTAGATACTGACAGCAGCACCCCCATTTCCATCCAGTGTCATCTCACTCCAAGAACGTGCCAGGTGACACTGTGGAAGCTAGGAATCTCAGCATCCACTGCAGAGCTACCTAAGCTTTCTATATAAATCAGAGCAGCGTCTCATACCCGCAGTGGTTTGCAGTTCTCTTGGACGTATCTTCCATCTGATGTGTTCTCATCCCATACCAGTCCCCCCTTGTGGAAGTACTTCTGTTTCCTGTACAATAAAAGGAACTATTCAAGAGTCCTATCTGCAAGAGACATCTGGGGGCACACACGTATGGGGTACGCGTAGCCTCACTGCAAGGCAAGACATTGGTACTAGGACTCAACTACATTACATATAAGCCAGCCAGTGCTATCAGAGGACGCTGTACCTCTTTTCCAAAGCACTTCAGAAAACTATATGCTGGGTATTCTACCAGCCCAACCAGCAATCAAGGTGGTCTTTAAAAGCTGAGCCTGGTTAAAGCCAAGCTAGATGATTTCTAGCAGCCAATACTTGGGGTTTGAATATAAATCTCGTATATAGCACTTTTCATCCACGGAATTTCAAAGCACTTTACAAAGATACTGAAGTATCATTCCCATTTCACAGATGGGAAAAACAGGCACAGAGAGGAGAAGTGACTTGCCCAAGGTCAAATATTAGGGTCAACGGCAGAGCAGGGAACAGAACCCAGGTCACCTGACTCCCACTGTAGTGCCTTAGCCACTGAACCATGCTGCCAGAAAACGACAGACGTTTCAGATTTTGATGCTGTTTGCATGAAAGTTCACTGTCAGGAACGGTGGCCCTGTCTCTGCAAAAGCATGGAAGAAATCCTAGGCAAGGCCCTCTTAGTGGTATAGAACAACAGGGTTCCATTATCTGTAGGCTGCTTGGCCATTTTTCCCAGCACCTGTACTCAACATTACTTTTATTTCAAGTTCAAGTCTTTTCTTGACCCTACGACCTCCACCCAGAACTACAACCCTAGCATTAGGATTCTGATGCATGGCCTCTCTGCATCAGAAATGGTATCCCGCCTACTCCACCATCACCAGAACAATGCAACAGCCAAGTCAGCTGCTCAGAGCTCAGAAGCTGGTTCTTACCGGGTTTTGTGGATCATCTGAGATGGGATTGGCCCAAGGATTTTTTCCATCATTACAAGGTGCTCACGATTCTCATGAGTCTGCAGAGGAAGAGCGACTAGGTTATTTTCTTAGCCTTGAAACAGTTACACAATGACGACAGGAAGGTCTAAACCCACCCTTCCAAGGATGGACTAGTAGGATAGTCTCCTCATGGTACCCAGAAAAATGTAGGCCCAAATCTACAAAGGTATTTGGGCTCCTAACTTCCAATGAGTTCAATGAAAATTAGGAGCATAAATTCCATTGTCGATTTGGGCTTCACAATTTAAAAAGGAAGGCTAAAGCTTACACAGTTCAGTCAAGGGCATAAAGGCATTACAAAAGTGTACCTGAAAGAGTGTGAAGCCACGGTAATACTCAAATAGAATGCAGCCAATACTCCAGACATCACACGGCTGTGCCCAGCCCAGCTCTGCAATGAAGAGGAGAAAAAATGACAGCTTCCAGTGACAAACATGGAGCTTGCACAAATTCCTTGCTGGTGGCCTCTAGTTTCCTTTAAAACTGGAGAGACCTAAAACTCAACTACACGCCCAGTGGATTTCTGTGGTGAGATGACTGCTTAGTCCTCTGGGAGTCAGAGTCCCGGAACAGAGAGATGCCCCCTTTTCAGTCTGTGCGCTGAAGTGGTTATTCTCTGATTAACTCAACTGCGATACCTCACACAAGCATCTCAGATCTCTGCCATCCCACATCTCTGGGCCGAGCACTCCCCCAAAGTTCTGGGCACATATTTACGGACAATATTTTGCATATAAGAAAGCGTCGTCTTTGTTCCAGGCTTTGGACGTGATGCAGACCAGGTGTGCTGCCTCAGCAGTCCTAATGCCCCATCTGCAGCACCATCCAAACCTTTGCTCCCAAGAGACCCATCACAGCAGCAGGTTTAACTTTTTGTCTAAATAGGCCAGTGTAGATTGTCCCCTTTCTCCACTCCAGAATCAGAGATTTTTCCAGTCTGTTCTCTCTTGTGAAGCCCAATTCTTACCCTACTGCATCCCGTGGCCCATGCCCCAGAAAGCCATCAGTAAAGACAGAAACGTAACTCCACTCACCCAGAATCACCTCTGGCGGGCGGTAATGCCGAGTAGCAACAATAGTAGTGTGATGTTCATGGTCAAAAGTGGCACTTCCAAAGTCGGCCACACGGATGTTTGTGTTCCTAATAGA